TTGGATGGAGGAGGCCAGCCTCGCTGGAGCAGATATGGCACCGAGGAGGGGTCAGAGCTACAGAGGAACCAGATGTTAGAGGAAATGAGGGGAGAGGGGTAAGTGAACAGTGAGGAAGGGAGGGGAAGCGAGTCACCGTGAAACTCTGCAGTTATCCTGTGTGTGTGGGTGTGTGGGGAAGTGTGTCTGTCTGTCTGTCAAGCTCACCTTCCATCCATAAGAATGAAGCCCCCAGCTGTCACCCACGGACACATGTCCAGGGTCTGTATCTCTGCCATCGAAATCCAGCCCCATGAAACTGAGATGTTTCACAGCCAGGGGATGGTGGCCAGATTTTGAGTTGAGAAGTCCTGAGTTCAGGCTCTGCCACTTAACATTAATGTGACTTTCAGCAAAGGCACATAACCTCTCTGTGATGCTATTTCCTCACCTGTGAAATAGGGATGATTGATTCTTGCTCAGCTTCCTTCAAAGGGTAGTTCTGAGATTCAAGTGTTTAACACAAGTGCCCCAAGACAATGTAAGTGCCATGGAGGCAGGGACCACAACTGCCCTGCTCCCTGCTCTACTCCTAGTGCCTCTCAGAGTAAATATTCAATCAATATTTGGTGAATAAGTAAATGGTAGGATGATGGGGAACTCAGCCCCAGCCCCGTCCACGAAGGTGAAACAGGAAATCTCTCACTCCCTCCAGCAGGACACAGCTCCCCTAAGTGTGGTCCACGTACCAACAGCAGCATCACCGGGGAGCTTGTAGAAATGCAGAGTCCCAGGCCCACCCCAGACCTACTGAATCATCATGTCTGGAGTTTGGGTCCAGAAGTGTGGCTTTTAACATGTCTTCTATGTGATTCTGATGCCCACCCAAGTTCGAGCAGCATTGCTATTGGACACATTGGGGTGAGGATGAGATGCGGCATGAGTTGCCATGCCCCCCTTCTTGGGGTATCTTCCTCCCACCTGGCACAGGTGTTTATTCCCCAGCCCACCCCTGCGCTCCCTTCCTTGGCCTGCCCAGGGCAGGGGACCAGACTGTGGAAGCTGGAGAGGGCCCCGGGGTGTGGGAGGACAGAGGGAGGTCTTGTTGCACCGGCAGTAGCACATCCACCCCTTCCTGTTTCAGCAAAACCTGCAGTTGCTGCGAGGGGATCAGGAGATAAGCTTTGCGGGTTCACGAGAGCTTTGTAAAGGGGTCCCTTCCCAATCAAGTCAGCTTCTCTGCACCCTGGCAACGTCCAGGGGTCCCAGGTGCCACTCCTGCCCGTCCTTCCCCCGGCCCCTCTGCTGAGGTCTCTGCCCCCTCCTCTTGAGGATCTGAAACTTCTCGTGAGCTGCTGGGAATGCACAGAAAAGATGAACCTCCAAGATAAGAACCCATGATAAGAACAGACATGATAACCTCGCTCTTGTTGCAGGTTCTCAGGAAAGCCTGATTCACGGTGCCCAGAGCAGCTGTTCACATGCCCATAGGAGGAGGGGGCAGCAAAGATTGAAGGAGAACTGGGTCTCCAGAGAGGCCAAAGCAAAATGTAGCGCGGCCAAATGACACATTCCGCACTTGTCTAGAAAAGCCAGCAGCTCACGCCCAGGATCCCGGGATCAGCAGCTGGAACCAGACAGTGTTTCAAATGGCAGCTCACTGTTGAGAAAAGAGGGTGGGTGCCTGGCCATACTGAGAGGGACCATGGAGCAGGGAGGTGACAAATCCACTCGGCTCTCTGTGGGACAATCAACCCTGGGTGCCTGCAGGAGCTCCGGACACCACAGTCTGAAGGCTGTAGAGAACCAGTGTCTTCCCCAGAGACTGACCGCTGTGGGAGAGACAGCTGGAGGAGCAGATGTTCAGCCAGGATAAAAGATAATTCTGGGGAAGCTACAGGAAAACTGTCTTCGAATACTTGAGAACCCTGAGTGGAACAGACAGCAGCCTGGACCCACGTGACCCAGTGAAGGGCAGGCATGGGCAGCTCAAGTGCAGTGATGCCTCCACCTCATCGGGGCCCTGCTCTCACTCCAGCCACGCTCAGCGACGTCCCAGTCGCCAGATCCACCCTCCCAGACCGAGGAAGCCCTTACACATCCTCAGCCCCCGTCTCCTAGTCGTGAGCACAATGCACATGAGAGTGAGCGCTTGAGTTTAGAGTCAGGAAGCCCCGAGTTCCAGCCCTGACCTTGCACCTTGCACCCTCTCCTTGGGTCACCCTGTGCCAGATCACAGCCTGTTCCAGCCTTGGATTTCCTTGTTGGTAAATGGCAGATGTTCCTCCCTGCCCATTCACTTATACAGCAAACACTCATCCAGCACGTGCTGCAACCACCCTCCTGCACCAACGTCCCAGGGGATTAATGAGCACCCAGGGGAGGCCCGGCACTGAGCAAGTGCTCAAGGAGTGCGTCTGGTGACTGCCAGAACCCATTCCCCAGCCATCTCTTATCTTGGTGCTGAGCAGAGGCTACAGGGATACAGGTGCCTGACATCTCAAACCTGATGTCAAACCCTCTCAACGACAGCACCTGTGGCTGGAGGGAGGCTCAATGGCTCTGAGAAGAACACCTGATCTGTATCTTCCATCATCTGTGGGCACACAGTTTCCTTCAGTCAGCAGATCTCAGGTTACATAAACAAGCCCGGTATTGCTGATTCAGCACACTCCGCCCCGCGCGTGTGCACACAGAGCCTTGGCAGGCCCCTGAGGCGACCTGGCACCGAGCATCTCCCAGTGCGCAGACCAAACCAAGATCAGTGTGAGGAACGGGTGAGGGAGTCCCACGGGAGGGACAGTTTTGCAAGGCAACTAAGCTTGTCAGCACCGGAAATGTAGTCCTTACTCATCGATGTAGAGCTGTGTGACTTTAGGCAGACAGCTTAGCTTTTCTGTGCCTTGGTTTTCTTCCACGGATAACAGAGAGATTTACTCTTAAGTGTGTGGCTCTGCAGTCGGAAGCCCACATGTGGATCCCACCTCCACCATTTCTCTGCTGTGTGACCTTTACAAGTGTCCCAGCCTCTCTGTGCCTCAGTTTTCTTTATCTGTGAAATGGGAGTAATAACAACAGCACCTGCCTCACAGGGTGGTTGTGAGGATTAAGTGGGTTTGTACATATAGAGCACTTGAAAGAATGCCTGGTCCAATAATTGCTTGTCCCAGTGTTTTTGGCTGGGTTCCTCCACAGCTGACTCTGAGACAAGGATTTAAATGCAAATAGTCTATTCAGAAAATGACCCCAGCAAGGGGACTTCCCTGGCAGTCCAGTGGTTAAGACTCCTCACTCCCAGTGCAGGGGGCACGGGTTCCATTGCCTGGTCGGGGAACTAAGATCCCACATGCCACACAGCGCCGCCGAAAAAGAAAGAAAATGACCCCAGCAAGCACCTATAAGGGAGTGGGAAGCTGAGACAGGAACAGGGGAGAAGCCAAAAGAAGGTGCATGAATGACCAGGTTGCCTTCGTAGAAACTGGGGCTCAATCCTGCTGGGGCCTCTGGGAGACTGTAGGAGACCCACCCCCCTCAGCATCCTTTCCCCTGAGGGCAGGAGGCTGGGATGCCTGCAGTAGAAAGACAAAGAGCATATGAGAACAGAGTTTCAATAGCAACTGTCACGCCAGCCTTTTCTGAAAAATTCAGGAGTGTCCCCTGGGCCCCTGCACACCGTTTATAATGACAATGACAAACTGAGCCTGGGTGGAAGGGATGGTTCTGGGCCAGAGATCGCTTGATGCCTCCACTGACTAGGGGTCTCCTCTCCTGATCTGAAGGATGTCTGTAAAGCATCCCCTGCTCTTACATCACCTGGCAGGGACCTGAGATCACCCTCTGAAGTATTTTAAGTGGAACCAGGATACGATCCAATTGGCATTCGAGAGTGATCCCTCCAGCTGAGGACGGGTGCTCAGGAAGCCAGGAGAGCTGAGGGGACCCAGGGTAAGGCAGGGCAGTGAGGTGGTGTGCCGTCTCCACAGCCTGGTAATGCATGCCAGGTGTGGATCTGAGTGGCAGGCCATTTAGGCGTCCAGGCTGGGGCAGGGGATTTAAGGAACTGAGAACTGGGGGGTTGGAAGAGCTGGCCAAGGAGGGGTCTGAGCTGCCTCTGCAGCGGGGAGCTGCACTGCTGGGCTGGGGAACTGAGACAAAGCCTCACTGCAAGGATTTCCTTGGTCCAGGAGCAAGGGGCCCAAGGCCGCTGAGCCTGCAGATGCAGCCTCTGAGAGCGGCCAGGAAGGCAGGGACTGACACAGGATTACAGCACAAGGGTGCAACTAATTCTGACAACCTCTAAGGATAGTGAAGAAGCCTGCCATCGCCTTACCCTTGGGGAGGCGATTTCAACAGGCTAAACTCATCGGGGTGCATTTTGGATGCTGTGTGGCACCAGCCAAGGGGTGAGAGGTGTTAAGGAATCCTCAATCCACTTTTCCATCCTCCAGGAGCCTTGCCTGGGTTTTCCTCCTCCTCACCCCCTCTTGATCAGCAGTCAGGACACACTGGGGCCCATCTGATACGCCGATACTCTCACTCCTCCTGTGTCCTGTCGGCTGTGACTCAGCAGGTGGGGCTGTGCTCGGCGCTGAAGCTGAGTTAGCAGTAAAGAAGTGAGTTAGCAGCAAAGTTTCCATCCAGCCTTGCCTACAGGCTCCCTGGATCTTTTCCCAATCCCCTTCTCTCCCGAAAATGGGACCCCTTCTACCTTTTTCCGCCTGCACACCCTCTTTCCCCCCGGGAGACTGGGCTCGCAGGCAAGGTGAATACGGATCTCAAGCTGGGACTCATTCTTCAATCACAGGTAAATGAGCCAAAGCTCTTTGCGCATGCGCCTAGTAAACCCAACGCCCGCTCTCCCCGGACTCCTCCCCGCGCCTCTTCGCTCGTCACCAACATGGTCTCCGAGGCAACAGCCCCTCCTGCCCGGCGCAGACGTAGCGGGGTTATGACGTCATAGGACGGCGCCGGTAGTCCCTGAGACTGCACGTGGGCTCGCGTTTAGAAACTCTGCCCCGACCATGGACACGCAGCTGAGGCGCAGCCGGCGGCTGGAAGGACTAAAGCCTGAATCACCCGAGAACCCCACCTCAGTTCTGCGGGTGAGACGGGCCCTTGTGGAGTTCGAGTCGAACCCAGAAGAAAGGAGGGAGCCCGGTTCTCCTCGGAGTGTGCGGCCACCTGGCCTGGAGTCTCCCAGACATCAGCCGGAGACAAGCCCGGGATCACCCAGTCTACGGGAGGGGGCAGGCTTGGGGTCCCCCCGAAAGCAGCCAGAGCCGGGCCCAGGGTCGCCCCAGCGTCAGCGAGACCCAGGCCTGGAGTCGCCCCAAAGACCGCCGGAATCGAGTCCTGAATTCTCCCGACTTCAGCCACAGCCAAGTGGGGAGTCACCAAAGTTTTCCCAGGACCGAGAAGAAGCGGATTCGGAGTTGCCCAAGAGTAAGGAGGAGCCGACCCTGGGGTCCCCCCGACATCAGTTGCAGCCGAGCCCAGGGTCACTAGAGCCTTACCCTGGTCAGCAAGCGCCGGGTCCCGAGCCCTCTCAGCCACTGCAGGAGCTGACACCCCAGTCGCCCGGCTCCCCACGGGATCAGCGTGAGCCGAGCAAGCCACCGCCGGCCGGGCAGCCGGAGAGAGACGGCCTCGGGCCAAAGAAGCGAGAAGGTTCTTCAGCCCAGGCCCCAGCGTCCAAGAAACCGAAGAAGGAGGAGGTTCCTAAAATCCCGAAGGGGAAGCCCAAGTCTGGGCGGGTGTGGAAGGACCGCTCAAAGAAGAGGTGAAGTGGGGGACATCTGGGCAGGGATGGGGTTCTGTGTGCTGCTGGAGCCTGGGAGCAGCCAGGAGGTAGCCCGTAGGTTGGAGAGATCTCACATCACTGGGGGAGTCACACAAAGAGGTAATTATAACCAGAATGTGGTGAAATGCACTGGGATCTCAGGGAGGGGTGCCCTTAAAGGACCCCTGGATAGCACCTCATCTGTGTGTTCATTCAACACGCATTTATCCTTGTCCCTGCCCTCTCTAGTAAGGGTGCAGAAGCAAGTAAACCAGCAGTGAGGTCTTCATCCACCATTATCTGTTACAGTTACTTGCCTTTTTGATAAAAGGCACTACCAAGCGCTGAGTATATAGGACGCTGCTAAGCACTCTAGTACGGATTGGCCAGGGGAAGGGCCTTTCAAACAGGGAGCAGCATGCTTCTTGGCATTTAATCAGCCCATCAGCTCAATGAAGCAGCAGGCATTAGGATTATCCTCATTTTACATATGAGGGCACTGAGGCTCAGGGAGGCTAAATGTGTGGTAGAGGCAGGACCTGAACACAGATCTGATTCCAAAGTCTGCGTGAAAGCCCTTTACCTGTGCTCTGTAGAGCCGCCTTGCATTGAATTGCAACCTTCTTTTTTTTTTTTAACTTTTATTTTATATTGGAGCACGGTTGATTAACAATGTTGTGTTAGTTTCAGGTGCAAAGTGATTCAGTTATACATATACATGTACCTATTCTTTTTCAAATTCTTTTCCCATTTAGGTTGTTACATACTATTGAGCAGAGTTCCCTGTGCTCTGCAGTAGTAGGTCCTTGTTGGTTATCTGTTTTAAATATAGCAGTGTGTACATGTCCATCCCAAACTCCCTAACTATCCCTTCTAAAGGGTAGGCGTGAGGTCTTGTCTTTCTGTGCCGCGGGCAGTAAGTGCTCAATTAAATGCTTGTTGAGTGAAGGAACAAAGAGGTGCAACTGAAGAAGGAAATGTTTAGGCTGCCAGGAAGGAGAAGTGGGGTCCAGTTCATGTTTTAGCTACTGGGAACCACTGGGCAGACAGGAATTCGTGGCTGTGAGGGCCCATAGGGGAAGGCAGTGATTTTATGGAGGAAGCGGACATTTACTAAGGGATGACTGTGCATCAAGCTTTGTGCTAGGCCTTTTGCAGATGTCATTTTGCTGAACCCCTAAACCCCAAGGCGGTGGGTTGGGTATTCCCCTCCCTCAAGTCCCTCCCCCCTTAAACAGAGAAGAAAGTGAAACTGAGGGAGTGATTTCCTACAAGTCACCAATCAGAGACTTTGAAGATGGAGCGACTTTTGGACTTGGAGAAGTGGGTGGTGGCGCTGCCCCTCCACCTCGGTCCCAGCAGGTCCCAGAGAATGGTGGGGCCACTGATGGCCATGTGGGACCAGATGAAGAGGTTGGTTCTGGTGGGAAGAGGATGGTGAGCAAGTTGAGTGTGGGAGCCTGGAGTCCTGGTACTCGGGAGGTGGACGGCGGGGAGAGGAGCTCACTGAGCATGAGGAGGCTGCTCCAACACACAGGCCAGGAGAAGGGAGGGTCAGCAGAGGATACCAAGAAGCAAGAGAAAGGGTATTTTGTCCCCGCTTCCTGCCCGAGCTGAAATGCTTCCCAGCTTCCTGTTGTTTGCTTGGAGCTGCGCTCCAGACGTCTTCCTCAACCCTGCCATCTCTGCCATCACTAAGAGTCTCCCACACTGACCTCCCCTCTGTGTACCCCCTGTAGGTGATGCTCCCTCCCAGCTCAGGGCCTTTGCACATGCTGTTCCTTCTGTTGAAAGGCTCCTCCCCTGACCATTCCCTGCTCATCTTCCAGGGCTCCACTTAAACATGCAGCCCCTGGGAAAAGCCCTCTTTGTGCAACCCAACCAGGGTTAAGTCCTCAAGCTATATGTTGTCATTGTACCTTGTATCTTTTGTAACACCCCCATTTGAACAACTGCTTGTTTGCTTGTGTGATTCTTGTCGGCTGCCAGCTTCCACTCTAGACCAGAGGCTCCGGGAGAGTGAGGATTTACCTACAACGGCTAGATTCTCCCCAGAGCCCAGCACATGGTAGGCACTGAGTCGAACAAGTAGATGAATGAGAACAGAAGGTGGTTCATTCGTTCAACCAGTTTATATTTCATTGAGCTGTAGGATCTGGGGGTAAGCGTGGCTATAACCAACACGTAATATATACATACATCAGTAATTAGGGCAATACAGGAAAATAACAAAGCAAGAGGTGCAGGGCGTTGTCACAGTGATTAGAGATGGCTTCACTGCCACAGGGATGTGAGCAGAGGCCTGAACGAACACACTGGAAAAGAGTGCCCAGGCAAGGGGAACAGAAAGTGCAGAGGCCTCGTCACTGGGCACAGGGGAGCGGTAGGAGGTGAGTGAGGTCAGAGTGGCCACAGGGCCTGGTCACGTGGGCCCACGTGGGCCCTTGCAGGGACCTGAGCCAGCGTGAGAGCCATGGGAGGTGTTGAGCAAAAGAGTGACGCGATCTGACCTCTGCAAGGACCAGTCTGGCCTGTGGAGAACAGACCTTTAGGAGGGCAGAGGGGAGACCAGGGAGACCAGTAAGGAAGCTGCTGCAGTAGAATTAAAGCACCTTCAGAAGAGGCGCCAGGCCTGTGGATAAGGGCCAGAGGGGCTGTTGAATGGATGTTTGGGAGCTTTGAGGAGGCAGCTTCAGCAGTTCACCTTCAAGGATTTTGGAAGAATGTCAGTTTCACCCAAACTAAAATGAATTGACTTAACTTTTCCATGCTAGATTAGTTCTGGAACAAATACATGTAATTTGTTTGTTCACTCAATAAATATTAAGGCCCCCCCCCCCCCCCCCCCCGTGCCCTAGGCCTAATGCCACCTTCTGCCCAGTCCTCCCTGGGTGCACCATCTCCCTTCTCTGAAGGGTGGATTCACTGAGCACCTACTATATGCAGAGCACTGTGCTAAGTGCTTCTCGGGTGTGAGCCATTAATCCTCCCACCACCCTTTGTGATGGGAATGGTTCTTGTCTCCACGTAAGGGGAGGGGGAGATAAGCAGTGGGGTGTGTGCTGGGGGCAGGCAGGCAGAACTGGGGGGGGCAGGCAGGCAGAACCAGACTGAGGACGGACAGGCGTGGGTTCAGGGTCCAGGCTGTATGTGCAGACTCCTGTGGAGCAAGAAAGGGGAAAGATGAACCAGAAGAGCCGTATTGACCTTCCCCAGGGGCGGGAGTGGGCTCGGCCTGGTGCCCACTGCAGCCCACTGCTGTGACTGCTTGGGGCATGGTAGAGTGGACGTGGGTAAACAGGAGCTCTTTTGAAAGTCAAGAAGTTATTGAGGGAGGCGGAAAGGCCACTACGAGAGGAACTGCTGAGGGGGAAAGAAGGCCCGTGGGACACCCAAACAGGCTTCAAATCGTTCAAGGAGAAAGCTTACGGAAAAGGGGCGGCACGGCTGCATGAACCCCCAAGCCCTCATCACCAGTCTCAGCAGCCCTCAGCCTTTTCGTGGTCTAGTGTCCTTTTGCTCCTTGATGTTTTTCCATCTTCCTGGAATGTTTTACAGCACATCCTAGATTTATCATCCCACCCCTAGATCCTGGCAGTGTGCGTTCTTACAGAGGTAACCTCGCTTCTGTGACCGTGTCACTATCAGTCTTTAGAAAGTCAAGACTTCCCTGATGTTCACTAGCACCCACTCCATTTTCACATTTCCCCTGCATCACTACAGGGGACCGCGACCATTTGCACTGTTCTGAGATGAAATGGGCTCCCCAGTAGGGAGTGAGCCCCCTCTCCAGGGGCGTCCACGCCCAGCCCTCTGCACTCGGCCGGAGCAGCAGAGCTTGGCGGTGGAGGCCGTGCGGCCCGGACTCTGGTCACAAACTGCTGCTCAGGAGCAAGGTGACCTTGGGCAATTACTTAACCTCTCTTGAGTCTTTGTTTGCTCCTCTATAAACTGGAGGGAACAGGAGTTCCCACCTCAGGCACATAACCAGGGCTTAAGAAATGGCAGTGGGCATGATCAGGGCCCTTTCCTGCTCCAAGCTTCTACAGACCCGGAGGGTCGACTGCCGGGCAAGCAGGCAGGTAGGAAAGAAGGCCCAGAGGGAGGGCACCGGGGCATCCCGCGGACTCCAAGAGCACCCAGTCTCCCCCATGCAGGTTCTCCCAGATGGTTCAGGACAAGCCCCTGCGCACATCCTGGCAGCAGAAGATGAAGGGCCGGCAGGAGAGAAAGCGGGCCAAGGACTTCGCCCGCCACCTGCAGGAGGAGAAGGAGCGGCGCCGGCAGGTGAGGGAGGGGCCGGCCAGGCGGGGGTGGGAGGGGCTTGGTCGAGAGCCGTTCTCCGGGGCTGCCCTGGTGGCGCAGTGGTTGGGAGTCCGCCTGCCGATGCGGGGGCCGCGGGTTCGTGCCCCGGTCCGGGAGGATCCCGCGTGCCGCGGAGCGGCTGGGCCCGTGAGCCGTGGCCGCTGAGCCTGCGCGTCCGGAGCCTGTGCTCCGCGGAGGGAGAGGCCACAGCGGTGAGAGGCCCGCGTACCGCAAAAAACAAAAAAAAAGAGCCGTTCTCCAGCCTGGGGCCGCGGGGAAGGGTGGGAAAGGCATACAGATCGGTGCTGGCATTCCCCCAAGACACAGCTGCTACACATCAGCGAAGTGGGCGGCATGCGCATTCCTCCAGCTCTCCCTCACGCTCATCCCAGGGCCACAGGTGCCCTGTTAGAGGTTCACGCCCAACCTCTCTAGCCTCCAGGAAGCCCCAGCAGGCAGACAGGGAGGTGGTGGTGTAGATCCACCAGGAGCAGACTTCTCAGTGGGACGTCACTCACCTCGTGGTCCCTGGGCCACCGGAGGAGTCAGACACCTCCCTCCCAGCCTGCAGTCCCTGCCTGGCCATGAGGGGAGGGGGTGGGTCAGCCACTTGGTCATCTGTCCCCTGCTTTGAGTTGCCCCAGCTCAGCCTATGGCCGAGGCCCTGCAGACTGTGTGGCCGCTGCCTCGTGCTGAGGCCTTATCTAGCTTCCTGTGTGGCCCTGGCTCCCTCTTGGGCAAGAGAGAACCTTCTTGTCACCGTCCCCTTTAGAGGTGCCCCTGCCCAGCCCTCAGTCCCGACCTTCCCCTGCGCCTCTGGGAGCTCAAGTGTCACTTCTCCTTTCTCCCCGCGGGCCCAAGCCACCCCTACCCTGTGTTGCCAAAGCCGAGGGAGGCCCCTGACCATGCACAGCCTTGGAGCCACCATCCCTGCCCTGCCCCACCAGGGACAGCAGTCAGCGTAGCCATTCCCAAGGAAGACTCCGTCTACATTCATCTTCTAAGTGTTCCCAGTGGGCCAGTGCTATTCCAAGCCCTGTACGTGTGTTCATTCATTTAGTCCTCAAAACAATCTTATATAATCATCTTCACTTTAAAGATGAGAGGCCGAGGCACAGAGCTTAAATCACTCGGCCAGGGTCACACGTTTCGGAAGTAGCAGGGTCAGGATTCAAACCGGGACCAGATGGCTCCGGAGCCCCTTCTCTGCAGCCGCTGCCCGTCCCAGCCCTGCGCCAGGGTGAACCTAGGAGGCCAGCCCTCACCCCAGCCCGTGCATTCTAGGGGTGCGTGGGCTTCAGGGGGAGAGGGGGGACTCTGAGAGGACGGGAATGAGGGAAAGGGCCAGCCACCCCTTCTCCCTGGGCAGTTGATGAGGGGCATGGGCCTGAGTTTCCAGGTGGGGTGCCACCTGTGTCTTACCCTGCCCCGCCACCTCCAACCCCAGTGTCCTCAGCCACCTGACCAGGCGCCCCCCTTCTCAGGTGAAGTCAGGAGCGTCCCACCGGAGTGGGCCTCTGGGTGCTGGTCCCAGGGGCACAGGGATGGTTCCTTGCTGCCTCCACCCCCCAGCACCAGGAACAACCCGGAGCCGGGATAAGTGGGCCTCTTGCCCTCCTCCCTGGGAATGCTGTCAGCTCTCACTGCCTGGGAGGCCAGGGCCGCCTCGGCTCCCAGACCCAATCCCCTTCCCCTGTGTGTCCAGGAGAAGCAGCAGCGCCGCGCTGAGAACCTGAAACGCCGCCTGGAGAACGAGCGGAAGGCGGAGATCGTCCAAGTGGTGAGCGTTGCCCTGCTTGCGGGACGGGACACGGCCAGGCTGAATGTCGTGTTCCAGACACCCCGGCACCCCTGCTTCACGGCCCCTGCTCGTGCCGCAGCCCCAGACCCCCGCGGTGGCCTCCCTTTCCCTGGGGAGCAGGGCGGAGACTCCAGCCATGCTAACGCCCTCCCTCCAACCTCCCCCAGATCCGAAACCCCACCAAGCTCAAGCGGGTGAAGAGGCAGCAGCTGCGCTCCATTGAGAAGCGCGACACGCTGGCCCAGCTGCAGACGCAGCCGCCACAGCGGCCAGCAGCCAAGAGCTGAGCTCAGGATGCCAGAGGCCTTCTGTGGCCAAGCACCGTGTCACACATGGCAGCCCTCGGGCCACTGGCCACACGCCTCTGCTGACCCAGCACTCCAACTCCATGGCTCCAGAACAGTGGCTCCACCCGAGACGGGGCTCTGAGCCTTCAAAAGGGCTCACAGGCAGGTGTTTGTGCCACAGACACCCAGAGGTAGCCTGGGACCTGGCAGAGACTGGAGGAGGGAGGAGGGTCAGCTCTTTCCTCCGCCCCTCCCCTCCCCCCTTCCCCCCTCTGTGCTCAGCACAGGATAGGAGAGAGAAATTGGCCAAGTCACTGTTTCCTTAAGCATACTGATGATCTGACCCTTCATTGCAGAGGGGAATGAAGAAAGGACTGCCCCCACACCCCCCCCCCCCCCCCCCCTTCCCCCCTCTCCCCTCCCCCCTCCTCTCCGAGTGCCTTCAAACCACGAAGAGTAATTTCTGGTTCCTCAGGGAGCTGGTGACTGGCGGGTGACTCCCCAAAATATGTATGTTCTGTCTCAGAGTCCTGGGTCTAACCCAGGCCAGGAGGCCGGAAGTCAGGAATCCACCTCCCCCTGACACACACCTCCCCAAAGGCTGCTTTGGCCCCCTCTGCATCCCACCGACCCTGTCACCCAGCAGACTGAATCCAGCTCCGCCCCACTTTTCAACACTTAAGGTTAAAATGGGGAGGTTGCAGGGGGCAGGGTCTCTCTAGCTCCCCCTTTCCTGTACCAGACTCTGCAGAAGCCCCAGAGATCTGATTAACTCATGCCATCCAGTCTACAGCAGAAATATTTATTGAAGGCCTGCTGTGTACAGGCACAATTCTAGGTACCAGGGAATACAGACAAAAGTCCCTGCCCTCAAGGATCTTTCATTCTGATGGAGAAAACATAATAAACAAGTAAAATGTACTGTGTGTCAGTTGGCGCCAAGTGCCTGGTGAAGCAGGGGAGCAGGTAGGAGGGAGCATAGGCGAGGTCGAGAAGGGATGTCCATTCAGCCAGCTGTCTGTGGACTGCTCCATTTGCCAAGCACTTGCTGTGGGCCGGGCCCTGCCTGGTACTGAGAGTAAACGCTGGGAGCCCAGCTGCAGGTGGTGGCACAGGGAACACTGGACCAAGATCCCAGGAGAGTTTCTCCCCTGGCTTTCCACTGACGTTCCATCCACCAAACGTGTACCGCACCAACTCTGCACCAGGCCCTGGGTTGCTGAGCTAAACAGACATGGTAGAGTGGAGATGCTATGGTAAGTTACCCCTCACACCTACAAATTGAGGGTCAGAGCTGCAGCCCCGTGCGGCCGGGAGGGAGGTGGGTGCTGCACAGATCTAGGGACAACATTGCTCAGAGGGCGGCCCAGGGAACTGTAGGCTGGCACACGTGTCAGATGAGCTAGGAAATATCACCGGCTGTGGTCACGGAGGTTGCGGGGCTCATCCAAACACTAAAGACCTTCAATAAGGATGTGCATTGCACTTTGATTAGCCCAGGCTTCCCAAACTTTTGACCATAGCACCCCTTGCTTTTTCCACTTCGGACAATGCTGGGTCGAACAGGTAGAGATGGGGGCTCCCATGCAGCTGCTATCTGAAGGACCTTGGGTATGTGGGGGGTGCCCTTTCATGTACTAAATAGTAATTGAGCAGGTGATGCCTAATGGTTGGTATTCAGTCTCTGCACCTTGGGCAGGTTACCTAACCTCCCCACACCTCAATTTGCACATGGTAAAAAGTGGGGCTAATAGAACCTGCCCCTGGAGATTGTGGGATAAAGCGTGTAGTTAAGTAAAGCGCAACTAAATGACCAAAGCGGGAAGGTTAGGCTGGAACAGCGCTTCCCAAACTCTTCATCTCTCGCTTTCCGCTCCAAAACGACATCACTGGTTTAATGTAAAAATCCACCCCACCCATCACCTGCTACAAACGGCTCCAGGGAGATGCGTCCTGTGTACCTCGGGGCGTCCACTACCCTAGTTTGAGATGTCAGGGTTTTAACCTCGCATTACTTAGAGTGTGGTCTCATCGCCTCCTGGGAGCTTGTTAGAAATGCAGATTGTCAGCACACCCGCCCGCCCGGCGGCCCGTTCGAGCAGACAGGATCCCTGGGTGACTCCCGCCTAAGAAAGTTTGAGAAGCACGGCTTTAGCTCACTTCGTTTCTGCAAAGGATACACTGAGTCACGTGGGGCGCTTCAACGTGCAGATTCCTTAGCCTCCAACTAAACGTCCGGGCGCTGGGGAAGCTGCTGCGCGCGATCGCTCCCTGCCCTTGCCTCCCGGGGGCGGGGGGAGAATGGTCGGAGCCTGGCGATCGCCGGCCCGTGCCTCCTAGGCCGAGGTGGTGCGCAGCGCCCGGTTCAGGGGGCCCCGCTCGTCCTGGGATCGGGCCCGGTCCCGCTGCGGGGGCGCCGCGCGGTCACCCCGCAGCCAGCCGAGCAGGCCTGCGGGCCCGAGCGGGGACAGGCGGCGGCCGCCCAGCGAGAAGGAGGAGGCCGAGGTGTTGGTGGAGGAGGTGCGGCGGCGGCGGCGGCTGCTGCCGCCCCCGCCGCCCAGCTCGCTGTCGTCCACCAGCACGCTCTCCAGCACGCTCCGCAGCGAGCGCCGCAGCTTGCGCAGCACGTCGGGGCAGGTGAACACGTAGAGCAGCGGGTTGACCACGCTGTTGACGAAGGCCAGGCTGGTGACGAAGGGCAGCCCGCGCCACACGAGCGGCCGCAGCGCCGGGTCCGCGTGCGCCCGCGCCTCCAGCACGCTGAACACGTGGTAGGGCCCCCAGCAGAGGGCGAAGGCCGCCACCACGGCCGCCACCAGGCGCACGAAGCGGCCGGGCCGCCGGCGGCCGCGGTGGCGCAAATGCACGCTCACGGCCACGTGGCTCGAGGCGATGATGGCCAGCGGCACCGCGAAGGCCAGCAGGAACTTGCTGACGGCCAGGGCCGTCTGTCGCGAGTTGCACGTGGCATCGCGGTCGGGCCCGGGATTCAGGAGCAGCACGTTGTAGTAGCACATGATGCGCCCGTCCACCCGCGGGATGGTGTCCCGGAAGACGAAGTAGGGCACGGTGTTGAGCACGGCCAGGGCCCAGAGCGCCAGGCATAGCCTGTGGGCCGCGGCCACCGTGCGGTGGTTCTGTGCCCACACGGGCTGCACCACCTGAAGGCAGCGGTCCAGGCTGATGGCGCTGAGCAGGAAGCCGCTGGTGAACATGGTGAGAAAGAAGACGGAGGAGTACAGCTTGCAGAAGGTGGCGCCCAGCTCCCAGGAGTGGCCCACGGCCAGGAAGTAGGTGAAGAAGGGCAGCGAGGCAGTGGCCAGCAGGTCAGACAGTGCCAGGTGCAGCACCCAGGTGGTGACCACGGTCTGGCGCATGCAGCAGCCCACCACGAAGAGGATGAGTCCGTTCTCCACCAGGCCCAGCAGCGAGGCCAGCCCATGCAGCAGCACGGACGCGTGGTCAATGTAGCGGATGCTGGAGTTGCTGTGGCTTTGGAGGTGGCTCATCTGCTCCAGGACGGGACAGAGGGGCTTCATCGTGACGTTGGGCGACATCGTGGGCTCTGCGGCGGAGAGAAAGAGGCACTGTGGCGGGCAGTGCCAGGCAACGGGCGACCCTGGCCAGGGGATGTGACTCTGACCCGTGACAGTTACAGGTGAGGCCCCTGGGGATCAGTGAAGTTGAGCAAGGGCAGTGAGGTGGGGGGGATGACATCCCAGCCCCACCACCTGCTCACTGTGCAACCTTGGGCAATGCACTTAACCTTTCTGAGCCTGTTTGCTCCTCCGTAACACGGATGGCAGTCATAACAGGATCTAGGTCACAGGGTTGTTGGTTGTTGAATTAAATGAATTAATAATATATATAAGCATTCCAAGCAGGATTAAGCATGCAGTAAGCACTGCATCAACGGCGTTGTGATTATCATTAAGCAGATGGCCTAAGATCACTTGGAGAAATAGGAACCAAGGTCAGGCCACGAAGGGCTCCTTTTCCCAATCCCCAGAGCACTGGGGTGTGAGCGAGGCGCCCCTGAAGGGCAGGAGGATTCAGCTGGGCTGGAGGATGGGAATGGAAGGCGGAGTCCGTGCATTTAAGGGATGACTCGCCCACGCACCCACCCACGGCACCCCCGGACCTTGCCTCTCTGCAGATCGTCCTGTGGGCCTTTCCTCCCAGAGTGGTGGCTGGTTGGGTGTGTTGACTGCAAACAGTGGAGCCAGCCCCTCCTTTGGTAGTTTAAGAGGAAATAAGATAAGAGCAGGGAGAGAGCTGGGCAGAAGGAACTACCAGGTTTGGGTTCCGGAGGCCCAGGAGGGCCAAAAGACCTCTCCCCTGCTCAGGGGCAGCCACAGGCGCTCCGCCAGCCCCAGGAAACCCAGCCCTGTTCATACTCATTCAACAGCTATTTATTGAGCGACTACTCAGCTAAGCGCTGGAGAAGCCAGCCCCTGGCCAGATGTGCAGACCCACAGCCTCATCAAGAACCTGAGGCCGGAACTTGCCTGGTGGCGCAGTGGTTAAGAATCCGCCTGCCAATGCAGGGGAAACGGGTTCGAGCCCTGGTCTGGGAAGATCCCACACTCCGCGGAGCAACTAAACCCACGCGCCACAACTACTGAGCCTGCGCACCACAACTACTGAAGCCCGCGCACCTAGAGTCTGTGCTCCGCAACAAGAGAAGCCACCGCAATGTGAAGTCCGTGCACCGCAACGAAGAGTAGCCCCGGCTCACCACAACTAGAGAAAGCCCGCGCGCAGCAACGAAGACCCGATGCAGCCCAAAATAAATAAATAAATTTATTTTTAAAAAAAATAATAAATAACCTGAGACCATCTGATGTGGAGCCAGTGGAGATCAGTGAGGGCAGAGGAGGTCAGGGTGGGAGGCTGCCTGCAGGAGGTGGGGACCGACAGCAGGGGGTGGGAACTCCGATTGTCCTGGGCCCCCCGTGACATGCCAGGAACTGTGGTGGATCCTTTACATAGGTACTGTCTTGCTACAGCTCTAGAAGAAAACTGCTGGTACTTGTCTCCATCCTGTCTTGCAGATGAGGAAACTGAAACTCAAGTGTTTAAATCACTTACCCAAAGCTTCCCTGAACAACACAGGCATGTGGAGGAACTACAGTTCAGCACTCAGCCTGTTCTCTTTCCTCTACCTCTGCTCTAAGCACGAGATGACGGAGAAAGAAGAGAAGGAAAGTGGAGGTGTTCAGTATTCGTCTTTCCACGGGAGGCACTGTTGGCCAGGATGAGAAAATCCACACCCTTCTCCAGGGACCACGGTCCTTCGTAGGGTGAGGGTGCCGGATAACAAACTAGAATTTCCTTGGCAGGTGAGCCGCTTGGAGCTGGGGACACGCAGGTGTGGGGAGGGGAGCTGTTGTCCCTGTGCTCCTTGAAAGTGCTCGCATTTCCCAAGCTCTAGAGCCTGCAGAGTGATTACATTACAATGACCCTGTGACACCGCATTTTTTAGAAGAGGAAACAAAGGTTCAGAGAAGCACAGCAACTTGCCCAGCGTCCCTCAGCTGCAGTGGAAGGGAGAGAACCCCACTCCCAGCAAACACACACGAGCCATACCCTCTCTTCGCTGAAACATTCCCTTTAGCCCCATCTAAGTCCCATGGGGATGCTCAGCACATCCTGCTGTGCCCTGGGGACCGAGTATGCTGCCCGCATACCCAGCTGGGAGGTAAGCCACTTCCCCTTGCCGGCCCCACTTGGCTGTCTGTGCCCAGAGCGACAGTGTCACCTACCCGGCTGAGTGAGGTGTCCTCATTCACAAAGCACCCAGTATGGGCTTTCTGGCTGACAGAGTCTGCCCTCCAGCCTCCCAGGGTTCTCAGGGAGCCCAGCAGCGAAGGTCCTGTTTTGACAGTGGGCTGGGGTTCTCTGAGAGAGCACCAGCTTTTGGTGTCAGAGACCTGGCTTTGAATCCCAGCTCCTCGGCTTCCTGGCCGGGTGCACTTGGGTCATTTACCTTAAGACTGCTCGTGTAACCCTCCCCCCAGATCGCTCCTGAGTCTGGAAAGAGAAGCTTTAATGGTTGACCACTGCGCCTGGCATCTAGTTATTCCCTAGGAAAATGTAGTCCTTTCCTCCACAGAGCAGCAAGTCCCCTCCAGTCTTTGGTAAACCCAACCCTCTGCCATCCTAGCTGGTAACAGCCCTCTCCCTTGATAAAACTGTGCCTTCTCTTCCGGGTCCAGAGAGGGCACTGAGGCTGCCCAGCCCTGGGGCCACCGTCTCCTTACCTGGGCACAGAGGGAGCACAGGATTCCAGCCCCAGAGGCTGTCAGCTTCTGGAGGCAGCGGGCAGGCAGAGGCAGGGGAGGGAGGCTGAGGGAGGAAATAGATGTCAGTCCCAGAGTGTGTGTGTGTGTGTGTGTGTGTGTGTGTGTGTGTGTGTGTATTTAGGGGTGGGGTGGGGGGAGGCGGGGACAGCTAGAGAGTGAGTTGTCACACTGGTGTTCAAGTAACATCCATCTCCATTGATGCGGACTGGATGTAACAGCCGGCAGCCCAGCTCATCCTACCTCCCTTTACGAAGGAGATTTTGCAGAAGCCCAAGGTCAAGTACAAGTGCACATGGGGACATAGGTGTGAGCCAGAACGTGTGAGCCCTAGTGTGCATGGGGGGTGCTTTTGAGAGCGACAGGTGTGTAGGAGAAGTGAGGAGGAGGGTGTCCTGTCCGTCTCTCCACTGTCCTGGACTGCCCACCCCTGACCCCATCACCCTCAGGAAAGAAACTGGTGCAGCTCTTCCCATGTGCCCGGGCAGCATGGGGGGCCCGTCTGTGAGGGGCTCCAGGAGCTCTATGGCCAGGGAGGCAGGGCGGGGCCGTGGTAAGAACACAGGCCTGGCTGTCCATGCTGCCCGCAGGCCCAGCTGGGAGGTAAGCCACTTCCCCTTGCCTGCCCCCACTTGGCCATCTGTGACCAGAGCGACAGTGTCACCTCCCAGGCTGAGTGAGGTGTCCTTATTCACAAAGCATCCAGCACACGGTAGGTAGTCATAAAAAATCAGGTGTCTTCCTTCTTGGGGAAAAATGGGTATAGGCTGCAGGAAAAAGGCAATACAGCTTTTATTTTAAATGGGCTGCGAATTCCCTGGAAGTCCAGTGGTTAGAGCTCCACGATCTCACTGCCAAGGGCTCAGGTTTGATCCCTGGTCAGAGAACTAAAAATCCCACAAGCCATGTGGTGCAGCCAATAAGAAGAAGAAAAAGAAGAAAATGGGCTGGGCTCAGAGCCCACGGATGAGATGATTGAACTGTATACATTTGCATTGACCTGTTCCCTCAGTCTTCACTCCTGTTCGCTGACCAAGCTCCCTGGGACCTTTCCTCCAACCTCAGCATCCCAGCAACCAGGAAATACTCAAAACATGTTAAGAACTCAGTACCCCCAAATCAGGGCCAGGGCACCCCCACAGGATTGACTCTACAAAGCTCTTCCATTTTGGTACAGACTTAATACTGGGCCTGGCACTGGATAAGTTTGCTGCAATCCTGAGTGAAGAATGTGACGGGGAAACTGTTGCTCACTGTCATCCAAGACGGAGGATCAGTAAGAGCCTTGATTAAACAAATCAGTAGCACTAGGTTTATGTCCCCTTTCCTCTGAGTGACGGAGCGTCTCCGTCTTCTGAAGACAAGTGCCTACAGCGCTCCCTAGGTGGGTGTTTCCATTCCACTCTGGGGCAAGTACCTTCATCCCCATCCACCCGCCTCCACACCCAACCTGCTGAGCCATAGACATCCTCTAAGGCCATGCAGGCAGCGGAGTGTGGCAGGTGACCTTGGGCAAGTAACTTCACAGCAATAAAATATGAATTTTTTAGAGGTGCTCCTTCTGCACGGTCCCTGCCCCAAAGTGGTGCACAGACTGCTCTTTGGGCTTAGAAGGAATCCCCGCATGGGAATTCCCTGGCAGTCCAGTGGTTAAGACTCCATGTTCCCAATGCAGGGGGCAGGGGTTTGATCCCTGGTCGGGGAACAAAGATCCCGCATGCCACGTGGTGCGGCCAAAATAAAAAAAAAAAGAATCCCTCCTTTCCTCCTGTAACATACCTTAGCTCTAGGGCATCAGGCTTGGGGTGGGGCCCAGCCCTGCTCCTGGCTCTCAGCCCTCCCTCACCTCCTCTACCAGGTACCCTTGAGCAGTGAACACTCTGCACAAGCCCTGATGGCTGGCCCTGCTCACCTGCAATGCTCACTCCTCTGCCCCTTCCCCCAACCCTCGTTTGCAATCCTGTAATCACTGTGGTGACTGTCTCCCAACCATCCCGGAGGACAATTTATGAAAAGTTACTAAAACAAACGAAGAAAGTACTCCAGGTGAGCAGCTGCCCTAAGGCATTTTCTAAACAAGGAGGCAGGGATGTTGGTTCCTGTAGGGCCCTTGGCTGCACTCCCACGGTGTAAACCTGCCCCCCACACAAGTCCCTCAGGCTCCACATGGAGGTGGCCTGGGCGGGAAGGAGTTGGAGTTGGGGGAGGCGGGGCACGGGGAGGATGTGCCTCTTCCCCGGATGTCAGGCATCTCGAGCACTGGGGTTCCGCACCAGACACTTGAGAGAAAAAGTCTCGTGAGCCGTGCGGACTCTGAGCTGGGGCTCCCTGGCTGAAAGCAGAGGACAGGCGCCTCGGGGAGAAGATGCGATCAGAGAACCCAGCGGAGCCCTTTGCAGTGTCGGGGAGGCAGGAGGACACCCAGGCTGCCAGATGGGCCCGCGTGGCGCTCAGAGTCCCGAGGAGAGTGGCGTGATCAGGGCCTTGGCAAACAGACCAGCCAGTCCCACTTTGAATGTGCCTCAGAACCTACTGGAGGGCTTGTGACGTCCAGACTGCTGGGTCCCCCACCCCTAGTGCATGCGATCCAGCGGGTATGGGGGTGCAGCCTGGGCATCTGCATTCCCGGCAAGTTCCCCAGAGCATGCTGCTGCTGCTGCTGGTTTGGCTGGGATGGAGAACTCGGGTTCCTTGCCTCTGGTGCACTCAGAGCAGGGAGCGGCAGCTGGGTCCTGGTGGCACTGGGAGGGGGGGAGGGGGGCTGTCCAGTGACCCCCCCCCCCCAGGACCTGGAGAAAGATGCAGCCACCCCCAGAGCACAGGCCATAGTCCCTGAGGCACAGCCTTCTCCATGGCTTTGCAACTTGACGTCAGAGCCTGAAAGAGCCAAAGTCAGGTCTGTCTCCCCATCAACCACACGTACTGCCCTGGAGGGGACGAACCAGAGCGTCACAGAGCTCTGCGGGGTTCTGCTGCCTGTGGGAACTGTCCAGGCTCCCAAAGCAGCCTTCAAGTCCTCTCGGGATCCAGCACACCGCCCACCAGTCCCTGCCCCCTTCCCCTCGGCTCACCTCCAAGCCTTTGCACTCGCTGTTGCTGCTGCCTGGAATGCCTCTTCCCTCCCCCACTCATCTTGCAGGACCCCTTTCTTTCTTTTTTTTTTTTTTAACATCTTTATTGGAGTAGAATTGCTTTACAATGGTGTGTTAGTTTCTGCTTTATAACAAAGTGTATCAGCTATACATATACATACATCCCCATACCTCCTCCCTCTTGCGTCTCCCTCCCTCCCTCCCTCCTTATCCCACCCCTCTAGGTGGTCACAGAGCACGGAGCTGATCTCCCTGTGCTATGCGGCTGCTTCCCACTAGCTATCTATTTTACATTTGGTAGTGTATATATGTCCATGCCACTCTCTCACTTCGTCCCAGCTTCCCCTTCCCCCTCCCCCTGTCCTCAAGTCCATTCTCTACGGCAAGACCCCTTTCTGCTATCATCAGTGTCTCTCGGCTCCCAAGAGAATGATCATGGCATCAAGTGTGTTTAACGAACAGTCAAGGGAATGGGCCAACTACCCTCCAGCCCTGGGGCCAAGCCCAGAAGGGCTTTCTCCCTCAGGCCCTGCCTTAGGAAGCAGGCTTTCATGTTCCTTTCTGGCCTCTTTAAAGAGTCAATAAAACAGGAAGTGAGATGCACAACAGGAAGCAGGTGAGGCATGCCCTGGAACCCTCCAGCCTCCCATACTTGGGAGGCCCTGGAGTTGGTCACACACAGCAGAGGGGCAGGACCTCACATGACACCTTGTGGGAGGCCCGGGTGGAGCACCCTAATGCCACCATCACCCACAGGTGGAGGCTTAGCTCCTCACATGGCCAATAAGCCCCTCAGAGATCTGGCCCTGCCTGTGCCTCCACCTTCATTTCTGCTTCTCCCTAGTCACCTCCTATCATCAGTCAGCATTCATCACTTCAGCCCCACACCCTGTACATACCAGGCTCTTTCTGTCCCCCTGTGCTGTTTGCTCCCTGCTCTAGAATACCATTTCCTCCCTTGGCCTCTCTGTGAACTCCTATTCATCCTTCAAAATGCTGCTCAGAGGTTACCTCCTCTGGGAAGACTTTGCTGAGCCTTTCAGACCCTACCTCCCACACCCCTGCCTCTGCACCTCTGCCCTCCATGGTAACTTTCACACAACTGTTCCCCACCCTCATCACGAGGAACTGGAGGACAGAGACAGTTCCTATTTTATCTCCTCATCACCAAAGCCAAGCAGAGGGCCTGACGTGTGGGAGGGCTCTCAGTGAACGTTTGCTGCACAGAGTGAATCTCTAGTATTGGAGATTAGGCCCGAAAAGAACCCCCAGTTCCTCACGGTGACCAATCTGGATCCAGTTACTCA